ATAGATATTTATAAAGTAAAGTCGATCGTCAAATAGGCGCTGACATAAAGCCGCTATTTTCTTTTTTCATATATGCATCATTTCTACATATAGATAAATGAATGCAAGTGTGTGTGCTACGTTGTCATTTCAATTTTCTTACACATAGACGTTACATAAATGTGAATACCACGTTGCCGATATTCGCATTCTCTCTGAAATAGGCTTTCGCTGCTTTTCTGATGAATTCTTCAATCCGCTTGTGTACTGCACTGAGAGAAAAAAATAGTTGGAATAACTATAATTTCACTATATTTTATAGTTCGTTTTGGCCTCAAATATATATTTATAGTTCATCTAAACACGAAGATATAGTAGAATGAACACACATTTATAGTCACCATTTTATTACTCTATGTGTATAGTAAAGCACGCTTTAGGAATTTAGTTACATGTACCCATATTTTCCAAATATTCCAATTGCATTGACTATATAAAATAGTTAATTTCTCTTATCATTTAATATTTGCTACCTTATAATGTTTTTTATTTCAAATAATTATAATTCTTGGTAAAAGTTTTACATGAGTCAGTTATACTATGCTTATATTGTAAATATTACAAGCATTATGATGACATTTACTATAAAAAAGATATTCCTAACTATAATCTTTTTACTATGCCATTATAGTTCCAAATGTCATACATTTTTCTCTCAGTGTAACGCGTCAGATTTACTCTTCAGTTTTCAGTGAAAATATTCACTCAACGATTCAGAATGGAAAATTTGTTCTGTAGGAGTGAAAGATGTGACTCGAATTCGTGAATGTTGAATTCGTGAATGTGTATTTCAGTCGATTATAGTAAATTCGTTTCAACAACGTTGGAGAGCATTACACTGAGAGAAAAAAATAGTTGAAATAATTATAATCTCACTATATTTTATAGTTCATTTTAGCCTCAAACATATATTTATAGTTCATCTAAACATATAGTAAAATGAACACAGATTTATAGTCACCATCTTATTACTCTATATATATGGTAAAGCACCTTTTGGGAATAGTTACATGTAGCTATATTTGCCAATTGTATTGACTATATAAAATAGTTAATTTCTCTTATTTCATTCAATATTTGCCACCTTACTATATTTTTTATTTCAAATAATTATAATTCTTGATAAAAATTTTACACGGGTCAGTTATACTATGCTTATATTGTAAATATTACAAGCATTATGATGACATTTACTATAAAAAAGATATTCCTAACTATAATCTTTTTACTATGCCATTATAGTTCCAAATGTCATACATTTTTCTCTCAGTGTAACGCGTCAGATTTACTCTTCAGTTTTCAGTGAAAATATTCACTCAACGATTCAGAATGGAAAATTTGTTCTGTAGGAGTGAAAGATGTGACTCGAATTCGTGAATGTTGAATTCGTGAATGTGTATTTCAGTCGATTATAGTAAATTCGTTTCAACAACGTTGGAGAGCATTACACTGAGAGAAAAAAATAGTTGAAATAATTATAATCTCACTATATTTTATAGTTCATTTTAGCCTCAAACATATATTTATAGTTCATCTAAACATATAGTAAAATGAACACAGATTTATAGTCACCATCTTATTACTCTATATATATGGTAAAGCACCTTTTGGGAATAGTTACATGTAGCTATATTTGCCAATTGTATTGACTATATAAAATAGTTAATTTCTCTTATTTCATTCAATATTTGCCACCTTACTATATTTTTTATTTCAAATAATTATAATTCTTGATAAAAATTTTACACGGGTCAGTTATACTATGCTTATATTGTAAATATTACAAGCATTATGATGACATTTACTATAAAAAAGATATTCCTAACTATAATCTTTTTACTATGCCATTATAGTTCCAAATATACATTTTTCTTTCAGTGTGGGTGCATCAAAGAAAGAGTTTTTTCGAGAAATATGTTATTAGAGTAATTTACGAATATTGTTTTGAAGAATATATGTTATCTAATATGTGAGCTTTCTATATAATTTTCAATGGAAATTAAAATTCAATATTTCACTATATATTCGCACCCAATTTTATCATATAAATTGAAGCAGTAATTGCGCTGTAATTTTTGCAAAAGGAAATCAGTGTCACGATAGCAATAGTTCTACATCGTTTTCATCCCCGAGTGAGGAATGCTCTATTTCATTTTTGCATGTACTTTCACTATACAAAAGCATTTTAATTCGGTCAAGTCAATACAAAGTAATATTTGTGGGAAAATCTCGTTGACGTGATATCGGCACCCCTGCAAAACTTTCGTCGTGCTGATTGTACTAAATTAAAAACCCTTTGACATGGTGAAAGTACGTGCAAAAATAAAGCGGAGCATTCCGCAATATGAGAGGAAAACGATAAGAAAATGTTATCATAACAAAATTACCGAATTCTTCTGCAAAGATTACTTCTTTTCACATGCGCCGAGTTATAAACCCTTTTGCATGGTGAAAGTACGTACGAAAATAAAGCTGAGCATTTCTCAAGATAAGGCGAAAACGATAAGGAACAGTTACTATCGTGACACCGAATTCTTTTGCAAAGATTATTTCTTTCTACATGCGCCGAAAACACTTTTACATGGTGAAAGTATGTACGCATGTAAAAAGAAGTAATCTTTGCAGAAGAATTCGGTAATTTTGTTATGATAGCATTTTCTTATCGTTTTCCTCTCATATTGAGGAATGCCCCGCTTTATTTTGCACGTTATTCAGAATGATTCGGTGTCATGATAGTGGCTGTCCCTTATCATTTTCCTTTCATATTGAGGAATGTCCCGCTTCATTTTCGCACATACTTTCACCATGCAAAAGGGTTTTTAACTCGGCGCATGTAGAAAGAACTTATCTTTGCAGAAAATTCGGTATCAGAATAGTAATTGTCCCTTATCGTTTTCGCTTTATATTGAGGAATGCTCCGCTTTATTTTTGCACGCACTTTCATCATGCCAAAGGGTTTTTAATTTGATCCAATCAGTACTACGCGTCAATGACATTTTCCTACAAATATTATTATACATTGCATGGTGAAAGTACGTGCGAAAATGAAGCGGGGCATTTCTCAATATGAGAGGAAAACGATAAGAACTATTGCTATCGTGACACTAATTTCCTTTTGCAAAAATTACAGCGCAAATACTGCTCCAATTTATATGATAAAATTGGGTGCAAATATATAGTGAAATATTGAATTTTAATTTCCATTGAAAATTACATAGAAAGCTCACATATTAGATAACATATATTCTTCAAAACAATATTCGTAAATTACTCTAATACGTATAACATATCTCTCGAAAAAACTCTTTCTTTGATGCATCCACACTGAGAGAAAAATGTATGATATTTGGAACTATAATATCATAGTAACAAGATTATAGTTAGGAATATAATTTTTATAGTAAATGTTACCATAATATTTGTAATATTTACAATATAAGCATAGTATAACTGACCCGTGTAAAATTTTTACAAAGAATTATAATTATTTGAAATAAAAAATATAGTAATAAGGTGACAAATATTGAATGAAATAAGAGAAATTAACTATTTTATATAGTCAATACTATTGGAATATTTGGTAAATATATGTACATGTAACTATATTCCCAAAAGGTGCTTTACCATATATATAGAATAATAAGATGGTGACCATATATATAGAATAATAAGGTGGTGACTATAAATCTGTGTTTATTCTAGTATATCTTCATGTTTAGATGAACTATAAATATATGTTTGAGGCCAAAACGAACTATAAAATATAGTGAGATTATATTCCAATTATTTTTTTCTCTCAGTGCAGTACATAAGCGGTTTGAAGAATTTATCAGAAAAGCTGCAAAAGGTTCTCTTGGAGAGAATGTGAATATCGGCAACATGATATTCACATTTACGTACCGTCTATATGTAAGAAAATTGAAATGACAACGTAGCATATATACTTGTATAACATCTGTGAAGGAACGATATATGAAAAAATATTGCGGCGCAACGGTAGCGCGAACATGTTCACGCTTATCAAATGTCACATTTTGACGATCATCTTCGTTCCGTATATATATATATATATATATATATATATATATATATATATATA